AAAACACAGAGCTTGGGGGCAACAGGATTCTGGCTCTACTTGAAAGTGTGTTGACCCCACTTCCAGATTCCTTATTGGACAATACTGCAGCTAATTACATCAAATCAACTGCTAAATTCATTTGAATGCAAATTTTAGAGGCGGGGCGAATCCACTTGCAATTTCAAGGCCAGTTGTAGTGATCTCTCTCACGTTCGCAGTTATTGTATAAGTAGTTCAGACGTTCGGCTCACAAGCAGTTGATTTTACATCTGTAAGTTGTTACTATGTCTGGTCGCGGTAAAGGAGGGAAAGGTCTGGGAAAAGGAGGCGCCAAGCGTCATCGTAAAGTTCTTCGTGATAATATCCAAGGTATCACCAAGCCAGCTATCCGTCGTCTTGCACGTCGTGGTGGTGTGAAGCGTATCTCTGGTCTCATCTACGAAGAAACCCGTGGTGTATTGAAGGTTTTCTTGGAGAATGTCATCCGTGATGCCGTCACCTACACCGAGCACGCCAAGAGAAAGACCGTCACCGCCATGGATGTCGTCTATGCCTTGAAACGCCAGGGCCGTACTCTGTACGGTTTCGGTGGCTAGACTTACCAAATACAAAACGCAAACAAACCAAACCAAACGGTCCTTTTCAGGGCCACCACATCCTCCAGAAAGAGAACTACCGTAAATGTGTGTTGTGTAGCCTCCAGCTACAGTATTGAAAGGTAGTATTCCTGCCTTCCATTGACTGTTTGTGTGACTGGCTAGTTGCACGTGCTTGAACCACTACCCATAGTATCAAATAATTAAGCGTACTATAGTCATCGCGCCTTTTCCTGGTCAGTGCGATTACATTGTACGTTGAAATTTCCTTGCATACACTTCATTACACGAAGAACACCCCCCCCCCCAGGTATTGTATTTAAAACAAGTATCGCCACCCGACTGTAAGGCCGTCGCTACAGTTTTCAATAAAGGGGGTCAGTTTCGCTCAGCCAAGGAACTTTTGAATGTATATATATTCCAGCATTCTTTATTGCCTCCATGAGCCCAGCAAGTCGTTATAATTTAGTTCTTCAGTGTAATCCTGTATAACCCCCCCCCCCTCATCTGTAATGAGGTCCTGATTTTGTAGTAATGGTCTTTATTAAAGTCGTATCCTTAAAAATGGACATTATACATAGGTCAAAGTACAATCAAGCATGATTGTCGTACGCCACGGCCTCGCACTCTTGACTCAAAGCGAAAATATACTCTGGCGGAGAGAATCACTCCACGTCAAAAACAATAGGAATAACAAAAAAAACTTGCCAGAAAATGGGTTAGAAATGCATGTTTATAAAGTAAATGCAAGGATGACATTGTACTTCAGACAACTAATAGCTGTTAGTAAATAATCTACAGTACACTTGTGTATAAAAGGACGAATCTATTTGTTTTTAACACTTATTTTTAAATTTATATCCTACAAGACTGAACATATCGCAAACAGATGAAGGCGACGTGAAACAGAAATTACAGATGACGTTAAATTCCATTTCATTTATTATCGCGGAAAATTAAACAAGTTAGGCCTGAGGGTATGTCGACAGTAGTTATGGGTTTTTCTTACGTAATAGGTTTTGAGACTACTTGCGAAATTTACATGAATTAATAGCGATACCAGGTTTTCTAGAGTCGCACATTACAATTTGCTGTAATGAGATTGCACCCTTAGTGATAGTATGTAGCTCTCAAAATTACCAAGATGTATGGCCTTCAAGCAAAAAACAACAATCGTTTCGCATGTTTTTTTTTTTCAAACTGCACAAAAGAATGAGTTTCTTTGAAACACAAAAATACAAACTTTGTTTTCTGTTTGGCGATATTCTATCGATTTCGCCAACACTGTGCGATTGCACTGCAAAGTATTCCGGGGTTCGGGTGAGCGAGGCTGTATGCAGCAAATAGATATTTACAATAACCATAATTAAAATGCGTACTCAACCACGGTTACTAATATTTTGTTAAAACTGTTGCACAGCATAGGGGGTGTGGATTTAGGGTTGCCGTAACGGTAGTTCTCTTTTTGGAGGATGTGGTGGCCCTGAAAAGGGCCGTTTGGTTTGAGTACGCTAGGCATACAATTTACTTGGAGCTGGTGTACTTGGTGACGGCTTTGGTGCCTTCACTGACGGCGTGCTTGGCGAGCTCACCAGGCAACAAGAGACGGACGGCGGTCTGGATCTCTCTGCTGGTGATGGTTCTACGCTTGTTGTAGTGAGCTAAACGGGAAGCTTCCGAAGCGATACGCTCGAAGATATCGTTGACGAAGCTGTTCATGATTGACATGGCTTTGGAAGAGACACCGGTGTCTGGGTGAACTTGTTTCAACACTTTGTAGATGTAGATACCGTAGGATTCTTTCCTTCCCCTTCTTCTCTTCTTCTTGTCACCACCACGAGCGGCGGCCTTAGCCTTACCGCCTTTCTTTGCTGCTTTACCGCTTGCTTTGGGAGGCATGTTGAACGTCAGAAATAATGTTCAGAATAACTGTAACCGTCAAAGGTCCCATTATATATAGTGAATGAAATGCAAATGAAGGATTCGACAAGCAAGGCGAGAAACATAACGAACGCAAGAGAAAACACGATTTAAGTACGTTGTACACTTAAATTACATTGTGCATCGACTATTGACCCTTGACAATATACAACCATAGACAGTATAGTCTACTACTATACTGTCTATGATACAACCAAGGTCGTGCTTTGCCGTATTTTGATTGGTGGAGGTACTATACGACCAGAATCCGAGCGGGAGGTATAAATACTGGTAGTAAACCGCCAATAGCTATAGTTTTCCGATAGAACTCAACTGCTAATTCAATATGTCTGGTCGTGGTAAAGGAGGCAAAGCAAAGGGCAAGTCCAAGACTCGTTCCAGCCGTGCTGGTCTGCAGTTCCCAGTTGGTCGTGTACATCGTTTCCTGAGAAAGGGCAACTATGCCGAGCGCGTCGGCGCCGGTGCTCCAGTCTATTTGGCTGCCGTACTCGAGTACTTAGCCGCTGAAATCCTTGAGTTGGCCGGTAACGCCGCCCGTGACAACAAGAAGTCAAGGATCATTCCCCGTCACTTGCAGTTGGCAGTCCGTAACGACGAGGAATTGAACAAACTGATGTCTGGTGTAACCATCGCTCAAGGTGGTGTACTGCCTAACATCCAGGCTGTACTTCTGCCCAAGAAATCCCATGCCAAATCCAAGTAAATCGTATGTCTAGCCAGGGAGTCTAGCATACACAAACCAAACGGCCCTTTTCAGGGCCACCACATCCTCCAAAAAGAGAACTACCGTAAATAATGGGATGTTTGATTTCTTTGTGTTATCCTACAACTTTCGTTCAGAAAAAGCGAGAATTTTTCTGACAAATTAGCTTGCTTTCCAATTTTCAAATACCTCATCGCCGTCTTTGTGTAATATCATGATCACACACGATCGTTGCTTTATTTCAAACCGCGTAGAGCACACATGGGGTAAATTCAAACAGTTTGGCACAACAGTCGCCAAAAAAAGAAAAAAAAAATTGCGCGACATAGTTATTTAATCAGGAAGCTTCTGTCGAAACATTAGCATAGATACTGCCAAATGAGTGAAACTATAGCGGTTTGGTGGTTGCGTGAAAGGGATACGTTTCGGCATAGAAAGTAACACTTTTACTGAACTAAAGATGACGTCACAATTTATTCACTCACTTAACGTCCATCGGAATGGATGTCACTCATTGTTTATTTATTTGAAATTTGGATATTTGCATGTAATCTTCTATCGAATTTGTGTTACAGAGAAGATGTACACTTTCATGAGCTTGCAACAGTGTATGGCGCCCAGTTTCAAAAATGACATTTTTTGACCAAACAAACTTATTTGTCAACCCCTCGCTCATTTTAGTCAGTTGTACATGTTACAAAATGGACTAAACATAATAACGGTCGTCATACTCTCGTCATTTTCAGTTGAAAAAGTGATTCGCTCAAGGAAGGCACTTTTGATTAACGAAGTTCATCAAACCGTTATAATCAAGTTTTCCGTCCGTGTATCCCTGACGTACCCCTCCTACCTCGGTATAAAAACTGAATTTGATACACAATGCACCAGCAATGTAAAGAAAACTTTTAGTTTAACTCTAAACTATAGCAAAACTGCAGCGCGTCCAATGCTAAGAAACTTTACTTTGAGCCTTCCCGCCAACGACGAGCTCATTAATGGAGTTACTCAACACTCAGGAGTTGTTTTGTAAATTGCGCTATGTCAGGTGGACTCAGCTGGTTATAACAATTTAAAATAACACTTTGAATGCATATACAATATATAACCTGTTAATGTATGGTAACCAACGCGTTTCGTTTTGAAAACAGCGTTTTACCCGTATCTAGAAAGATAGTGGAATGACCACAACTGTGGGCGTGCCAGTAGAACGGTGCCATCAAGTCTAGATTGGAAAAGACCAAAGTGTTTTGCAAAGTTCCAAGATATATTGCTAACTGTCTGAATAATTCTCAGAACGGCTGTAAAGCGCGGCGGTGGTCGTCGCGCAGCCCGTGTTTGAATTTCATGTAAATAAACAATGTATTTTACACGCGTTGTATACGTCGCTACGAGTCTCGTATCGAACAGGACGAGGCGTGACGACTGCCGCCCTTTAACAATCACAGATTCAAAAACAAAATTGAGGGTTTCTCTGGTTTATGCAGGCGCTTTGACATTGACTTGATGACACGTTTTTACCACACATGTAATATATTTCCTGAAAACACTTTGGGTACAATTTCGGTGGAAATTCATTATTTTCAAACAAATATTCACCAGAATGTCCTAATACACGTAATCATGGAAGGTACAAGTCCTAGTACCGTGCCTTCTATGATGTAGTACGAGTACCCATCTAATGACAACATTTTTTTTCACCTTACGTGATCAAACAAAACCACGAGATAAAATAGGACCAAATCAATATGATCATATTTTTTGGTAGCAGACTTCCACAATATCTCACTGACAGATTTTAGCTCAAATTACATTTTTTAAAATTAATAATGCGTTTATCAAAATTGTACAGTATCCAGGTCAACCAATTTCTGTATCAAAACTGCAAACTATTCAAATAAATAATTTAAATAAGATAAAGTTTTACTGAAGCTATTTGTATCTGATTGTCACTCAATTTAATTCGCATTGTCACTTCAGGATATTGATTGATACATCGATAAGATCTACCTACCAAACTATAGAGGGCAGCACATATATGTAAAGTAACAAATCATACAGGAGATCTCATACTGCGAAACAGACAAGTTATTTAGTGTAAATAACATCAAAATATTCAATAAACTGGTCCTACCTTATGTGGCCTAATTCAGTGGTATGCAAACCACCGGTTTTTGATACATACGAAAATCAGAAGCAAAACTTTTTTTGGGGTCTAATCTCACAATATGACCAACTAGAAAGAATACCTATACTAGTATATCATCTGAACAGGGTGGCAAATACAATACTATGCCGTACCTATGTTTTGTCTAAGTGATTGCCTGGTGGCCAATTTCACTATTGTACATTTTAGCTTCTCTGTCATCCACTGTCATCTATTTGTGTGCTTGGTTGCTGAATCCATTACATAGATGTCTATGGGGTGGAACAATTACGTTCTGGTACTGGCCCTTATTCTTGCTCAAAATTGAATTATAGAATTGAAACAGTTCAGTAATGTTATGCAAGCATATATTAAATTATATATTAAATTTAATCATCCACCCCCAAATCACTAATACTTGTTTCTGGCTGATCAGCATGCACTATACTAATTATTAGTATTGTATACTAGCTCAGATTCATCTCAAATAAAGAAAATAACAATATTTTTATATTTGAGTAGCATCTTCAACCAAGGATTCCACCTCAAGGTGATTCATTACAAAGCTTTGACTGGAACATACATACACACATGCAAGGGTTTAAGTTTACATACACACTAGTGAGAGTATGTATACTACAGTAATTTATTATCATGCTTTTAATACAAAATCACCCAAAATAGACTAAATTGCATGATAAAGATTTAAATTCATAATATATACATTTGATTTAACCACAGGCTTTTTAATCATATAACACAGACACATAAAGGCATGTCATTTGGTCGACATTCTCATGTACCTGGTATATTATTCGGTGTTCAACTCAGACAACACGAGTATAAATACATGTAAGCACCAGATGAGTAAACACAGGCTATTAAATATGTTGTACATGTGAGAACACATTGCCTAATGAGAGCTCTAGAATTTAATATTAGTTTGAAAAAATTCAAACTTTCAATCAACTTGGCTCAAAAATACGAAAAAAGAAAAAACGGCTTTTTCACCCTTTTCGCCCATAATATTTCCTGCACAACATTTTTTTACAATTTTATGTATTTGTTGGTTATTTTTTGACCAAATTAACATAAATTCCCATGGGGTACATGTCCTGATCCAAATTTTGAAAAAAATATCAATATATGTTTTCATTTTAGAAATGGTAATACAAGTTGACTTGTTAACACTATAAAACTTATATGTACACAAATGTGCATAGATATTTTGAAATCACTTGCCAATGTTGTCTATATATTTCTCATCAATTCACACAATGGAAGATGCAACAACATCAGTAACCATGAAAGTAAATACTAGCAAAAGCGTTTCCATGTTTGAAATATGCCATATTGCAATAATCCATATACATGTATAGGAAATGCAGAAATGCAGCTGTAAGAAAATATTGTATTTTCTAATTTTTGTTTATGAATTCAAAATTACCATTATAAAGATAGTGTATTGATGTCATAGGTTTAGCATGATTGCAACCATGAGCATTTCATGGAACAGCTGCCTAGCTTATCCATTCTTGTTTGGATTCAACTTGGACTTGACGACAATTAAGAGTTTTGTTTAGAAATACCGTATATATATATAAATATAAACATGCCTTACTGTTTTTCACTGTAATATTTAAATCACTTAGAGTAGAACAAAACAAACATGGAGTAGGTAACACCATTCACCTGTACAAATTGTAATATCTTTCATATGTGGTAGGTATGCAAATCACATTAAAATCAACCAATTGAGACAAGTGTTAGATACTGCTTTGTATAGAGTTTGTTTAGTAAGGAGATCACTGATTGATTGACGAATTCCCTTTAAAAGAAAGCATCCTGAGTGGAATGTATTGAGCAGTAACCAAGTGACTATACCAATAACAAGCAATTAGGGCTAGCACCAACATCAAATTTTTATTTGATTTGAGCACGTCCTACTATAGGTTATAACAGATCTTTAATTTGTATGTTTCTTCTGATAGCATTTGTGTATCCTTCATGGAATTTATACCAAAGAACACAGTTATTTCGTTTGCTTTTCTTATTTTCTTCAGCCTCACTTTCTTGTTCACCTGAATAAAACAGAAAATACAAAAATGATTGTATTAAAGTGAATAATTAATGATTAGATTGTATTTTTAAATAAGAATGATTTGGTCATCCAGAATTACTGTACAAGTGACCTCTATATATCTAGAAGCTGAAACCAGTTTTGATTTGTAATTATTAACAATGTTGCATGGCATCATGAACCAAAATATTATGCAAATTAAAGCCACTCCACAAATGCAGATCACTGGATATACATATAAACTATAGTTGCAACATGTGTTCTCTCAAGACAATTTCTTTTTCTTCCTGCTGCATTTAGCAAAATATTTTTTTTTTTCAGTTCTATTTTTGTTGCATGAACACTGACATAATAAAACACCCCCCTCCCCAATTGTTGGTACAGACAAATTCAAGACACACTCCATGTCTACTCTCAAATGATTTCAAATCTCAAGTATTAACTTGCAAGCTTGTATTTTATTTTTTCCATTCATTCTCCTTACCTGTGTTTTCTTTAAGTGGAACCTTGACAATTCGACCAAAGAAATCTCTGGTGGGCTGTGAATATGTGAAACAGAAACAAAACATTCAGTCATTGTTGACTGGCACAGGTCAGATTTATTACCTACATTGTGATACACTATTTCAGGATTTCAAATCATATTTTGTAGGAACCAGTTACAGCAAGTCTCAGAAGTATTGGGGCAGCCAATTTGCAAACTCGCTAGCGAATTGACTAACTGCTTGGGTTTTGACTAAACAGTTGGCGTTCGAATTTCGCCGTCTTGTAGTCACACCCACTCTGGGCGAATCTATATAACAGCAGATTGTCCACAAAAAAACAACGAATGAGATTAATTTTTTTAGCGGTTGACTTAACGTTTCCCCAATAGATCATTTGGATGTGAAAGTTTGTTGTTCTGATTTGTAGGAAACTGTTTATCAACTTGTCTCTTTTAGTTTCAAGCAGTGTTCAAGATAGTTAGCCCCATATAGTAAATATCGATGGGTTAATTGCATTTATCGTATTATCGCTTGTACGCCAGCTGACTGTGGTCATTCTCAGGCTGAACAGGGAAACTACTTATACATTATCATGTCTCGCGTAACAAAGTAAATCATTCAGGGGAATCCAGAAATGTACCAGGCTATGTAAAACAATCCATGTCCCCTAATGTAATATAGACTCGCCCAGAGTGGACGTGACCACATGTCGGTGCCAGCGAGATTCGAAACCCAACTGTTTAGTCAAAACACAAGCATTTAGCCAATTCGCTAGCGAATTTGCAAATTGGCTGCCCCAATACTTCTGAGACTTGCTGTGAGAGCTAGGACATGTATCATATCTGTTCCTAACCTAATTTTATTGTTATTATTTTATGCTAATACAGGCTGGGAGAAGAGATCAAAAGGTGTAATCTGGATCCTAAAAAACAGAAAGCTGCCTTACCTGATCTTCAACTATATCAAACTTCTTGGGTTGTAGTTTTTCTTTGTGTCTCGGAACAGTACTCTGCTGCTTTTTATCCCCAGTGTTTGCTTCCACAGGATTCTTTTGTTCTCTGAGAATAACATAAATTACATGATTAATTTAGCTTCACAACAGTGACACTGCTATCGAATACAATATATTACTTTTGAACTTAAAGAGTTCATTTAAATGTTATCACGATACCATGACACAATACATACTTGTTTTCTTTTGTAGTAACACCTTCACTTCTTCTCATCTTTTCAAGTTCAATCTGCAAACAAAATTACAAAAAACTGCTACATAACAAAGATCACAATAAAAGCCCCATGTTGTGTAAACAATGTATTGTTGTACATATTGTATGGGATGATATCAAACAATATAGTGGACAATTGTAATGCTATAAAACCAGATTTGAGTGAAGCAAACATTTCAGTATCTTCCCAGAAATCTTTTGGCACACCTATGTTCCCAGAAATCTTTTGGCACACCTATGTTCCCAGAAATCTTTTGGCACACCTATGTTCCCAGAAATCTTTTGGCACACCTATGTTCCCAGAAATCTTTTGGCACACCTATGTTCCCAGAAATCTTTTGGCACACCTATGTTCCCAGAAATCTTTTGGCACACCTATGTTCCCAGAAATCTTTTGGCACACCTATGTTCCCAGAAATCTTTTGGCACACCTATGTTCCCAGAAATCTTTTGGCACACCTATGTTCCCAGAAATCTTTTGGCACACCTATGTTCCCAGGAATTATTTTACCCATCTCAAATTCTCAAGAGTATCAAATATGATATCATACCTCTCTCGCTATCAGCTGTTTTGTGGCATATGTCATTTGCTTCTTGACAGGAAGCCCACCAAATTTCACAACTTCTTCTATATTACTAGAACAGAAATAGTTCATATTCAACATTTATAATTTCAATAAATCTAATTTAGAAAGTTAGGCATATTGTATGCGTAAGAGTTCATTGCTAAGTTGCACCTTTATTCTAAGTCTCCAATACCAGTTATATTATCTTTTAAAGAAAAATGAGTTATCAACTGAACTTATTGATCTTCAAACTTTGGTGTATCAATTTGATCCATTTTCCCAATGATTCCTTTTAAACAGACATACAAATAGACAGACTGAAAAAATTAAATCTTAGAGAAATAAGCAAACCTGTTCTCAGCAGTCGCATAAATTCAATTTACTTTTGCTTTGCATTTTTTTGTTTCAAAGTGAAATGGTAAAGAAAACTTACGGTTCAAGACAGTAGGTGTACTGTCCTTCTGGAGACCTCCGTTGTTGGTAGGTCAAATTGTAAGCTATCATCGTACTCACAACGTTGCATAACTGTTCCTTTTCTTTAGTGCTGTATAGCTGTGTGTTCACCTGGAAATAATTAGTATTGTGGGGTCAGTTACACATAGATTTCTTTACGGACAATTTACTCAGTTTAATGTCAATTTTCCTAGTTGGATCTCATTTACGGACAATTTGTCGAGATGGAACTCTTTTTATAATTCCAATTTGCTGAGTGACATCTCTCTTAGACAATTTGCACTCAGATACTGTAGTACTTGATTTTCACTTGCAATGTATTTTTAATAAAATCAAATTAAAATACACTTTATCTCAGCATTTAACTCACCCTATTAAAATCAGTATTAAATCAGTTATGCACAACCCAAAACATTGCATTCAAAATATTGCATTGCACTTCAGACATTCAGTCAAGCATGTGCATTACTAAACAGGAATCAAAACTGGGAGTTGTCCAGTTGGAGTTATGTACGGTACCCTCTAGGAGGCATTTGAGACCAGTTTTGAGACTCTCCCACAGAGGAACATGCCATTTGAGACCGTGTTTGAGACCGATTTAGAGACTCTCGGATGCCACATAGATCGGGAATGAGACCGTGTTTGAGACCGATTTAGAGACTCTCGGATGCCACATAGATCGGAAATGAGACCGTGTCTGAGACCAGTTAATTTGTGCAGTCTGATTGGACAACCCTCTGACATCCGAAATTGTATTCTACTCTTTTCACCATGAATTTAGGAACAGAAAAATTGTTCACAGATTTGTTAGCGTAATTAAGACGCTAAAAAAGAGAAAAGAAAACGTGACAACAACATAAATACCTCATTTAGAGAATAGTTTGACGACATACAAGACTATATTATGATGTAGTGTATCCTGAAACATGAAGCTCGGAATATTTAGTAACTGTGTTAATTGTTTGTAGCAGTTGACGTAATCGTTAACAAACCCGATATCATCAAGAAAAAACAGGTGCAAAACTCATCCAATTAGTCAGTTAACGGATAGTAACAATGATCTGTGGACATCCATAACGATCGTATTTGAGTTGCAAGTGTTTCTTTATTTGTCAATGTTAGGTTGGGGCGAGTCATGGAGCTAAAAAAAAAAGATTTTTAGCTTCATGGGTGAGTGGGAGTACGTCGTAGTTTAGAGAAAAGTTCCGCGATTTGCAAAGTCATTACAAGGTTACAAAATCTTTCAATGTTGAGCTTGATAAATTAGATCATGAAGAATCATACTCATACAATCAAACAGAATAGAACACCCTAAAAGACTGTGAATATTGTCCAGTTTACAGATATCCTCAGTTAATAGAAGACTATTGTATAAAGCAAGACTGTATTTTACACTTTGCAAATACATCGAATGTATAAGAAACAAAAAGTACAATATTACAGATATGAAAACATTTCCAACAATAAAAGCAAATAAATAGGATTCAAGAGAATAGAGATATACATTTTGTGACTTACTGGCCTGATATTCGGTTGCATGATCTCAACAAGTAGCGGTAAAATGTCAAGTACTGCAACTTTAGTGTGGGCATTCCTTTTAGTGGCAGGAGTAACTCCAGACAGGAGACTTGTCAGAAGATTTAGAGTCTTGTTCAGCTTCACAAAATTCTGAAATAAAGAACATCAGTAGGGGAAGGTCAATCTGGATGGTAACTTTATTTCTTCTCCAGGGCTTCAACACAATGAACAAAATTTACAACTAAAGATGGCAAATTAAGATTTTAGAAAAAAAAATATACAATGAAGCATAGCTAAAGACATCAATGACAAAGACAAAGGGACAGACAAGAAATCCATTAGCGAGGGATGATACAGGTGAGCAAAATGACACTGATTGGTCCACAAAAACAGTGCTGTGATAGGTCAATGCAATAGGATGAGATCATGATGGCCAGAATCTGGATTAGGCCCTCATGCTCAAGGCTTTTTAAAAAATCAGTTTTAGCGGAGCCAAAATCAAATTATGAGGGTATGCAAGGATGTGAATATGAAGATCTCGCACAAAGTCACACAAATTGTAAAATGATCACAAAATTTCAGGACAAATTCAACATTTCTAGAAATCTTGATGTAAATTAGTGACAATGTGAAAGAAAGGATTCATGTTCCCAAACCATTTTTGTAGCGCCCTTGAATATTCGCAAAGCATGCATGCTATTGTAATGCTACCGGTTATAAATATATTGAACTGAGGCATACAGAAAGACAGAGTTCACTTCTCATGAGATTTTCATTTGATTTTTACTGTATACAAAATGTATACAGGTAGTTATAAAAGTTGCTGATAAATCCTTGCTGATACATCATGCGAGATCTATCTATGTAACACATACCTCATATTGCGTATTGGGATACTGTATTCTTCTGTGAGAATTAGATGCAAACAGCATATGGAATGCCACGGGCAAAAATGGTAGATAACGCATAAATATGTAATTTTGACTGTGGCTGATCTCTTGATTCAATCTGTCACTCATTGCTAGCCACTCATGCCCAAGAATAACCTGTAAAAAAACAAAACAATTGTACTACAGTGAAACCTTATTAGTCGTACAATCAAATCTATGGGAAAAGGAACTGCAAATGGGTGTTGAGTTTTGAATTTACAAACTGTTTTATAAGGACAAAAAAAAAAAAAAAATGTATTCACACTCACAGCATCCATGTATGGATCTTTGCATTTCACTTCTAAAAAATTATCAAAGATTCCTGGAAAATAAATAGATATGCATTACGGTACATTATAAGATTGGCTTTTACACATCTCCTATCATAGCAGGTCAGTCATCTTGTTTGCCTTTTGCTGAGGGCTTAGATAATCAAGAGTCTTGTAATATTTATATCAACCCCTACATTTTTTTGAAATGAAAAAACAAACAATGGCGACTGAAGGGTTAAAGATGTTGCATTTTGTTCACCCAATAAATTTGTTTCAACGCAGCAAGCAGTGAATCAGGACAATACTCAGAAAACAAAGGAAATCGTCTTGTACTAGACAGAAAACACTATTATTATGATTTCAATATTAGATCTGACATTAACAGTCACAATACTGTAAACTGATTTAGTAATACGAGACAATTTTTAGCAAATATGCGAGTAAGTGAAAATCATAAAATTTTGTAGTAGTGAAAATATCTCTGGGCTTCAAAATTGTCTTCACAAATGCCACAAAATCAAGAAATCTTGAAAATTCCTAGTAAGTGGTTTACATTATATGGTAGACAAAATACACAACATAACTCACCTTGTGTTGTTTTATCATATTCACCGTTAGCGGTGACAGTATGTAGTACATTATTAAACCGGGCTGATGGTGACGTCTCACACACTTCTTCCTCAATAACAGCAACACCATCCACTGCCTGTATATCATATGGATTCAAATAACGCTTCCTGCAATGTTGAAATAGTGAAGATAAATCATACAAATTAATGCTGCCTTATTGCTACTATAAAAGTGGTGTTTATTTTCACTAAGCAGCCTGAATTCATATATTTATAAATAAGCTTTTATTATATTATATTATTAAATAAATCATAGTATTTTTGAATGTGATTATTAAAGGGGACTTGTCATTATTAGTCCCCGTTCGGACGTAGTTCGAAAACGGGGACCTATGGTTTGCCCTGTGTGCGTCCGTGATCACCTGTATCTCGAACATGCATGGACCGATTGAGTTCAAACTTCACTCATACATCACACATTATATGGGACATATGCACATGCATTTTTTTCATGATCCGATTAACGATAGCCGAATAGCGGTCATTTTAAGGCCGAAAATGCATCAAAATCCCACATTTTCACCATTCCGGACCCGGATCTCAGTTATGCATGGACGTATTTTGTTCAAATTTGGTACATACATTAAACATAATAGGACCTTGATGCACGTCATTTTTTTTTTGGATCGGGTTTGAAATGGCCGACTGGTGGCCATTTTGTTTCAAAGAATTCAGTTCTGGATCCGTATCTGAGACATGCCTGGATTGATCGAGTTCAAACTTCACACACACATGGTACATCATGTTACAAATAGATATGTGCATTTGTTTCATGATCCGCTTAACAATAGCTGAATGATGGCCATTTTAAGGCCGAAAATGCATCAAAATCACATATTTTCACAATTCCGGAACCGGATCTCAGTCATGGATGGATGGATTTTGTTCAGATTTAGTACAATGTGTTGTACATATGCAGGTGCATTTCGGTCATGATCTGCTTTGAATGTATATGTCACTCAAATATGAACGGAACAGGGACGTGTCATTGACAATGACTTGTCATATTTGTTTTCAGTCTGACATGCCACAAATACTGAATATAAATATAGATGCTGAAAAGAGTTTGAAATTGAATGACTGAATATGAAAACATTATTTTTCACAGATAATTAATTTAAATTTAATATTTGATTATATAAAACAAGTTCAAATGAACAGATTTTTCAGTGACAAACTAAAAAATAAATTTCATTTTGGAAATTTCACTTATTGAAAACAGTAACAGTATTGCAAACTACTGGTACTTAAGGTATAGATGCAGGTTCGTGGGCACTTGAGAGTGAATTTTCTTTTTTTTTGCTTTTTATTATTCAAACAGTCTTGGCTATAGACTTAAAATTTCACAGCATTGTGAATAGTGGAACATACTCAAAAGTCGATTTTTAAATATAGAAAACTGGTACAAACATTCTTACTTTTGAATGCTTAGCAAGATTTAGCAAGGCTGTACATAAATAATCAAAAATAAACATGGTAAAAAAAAGTAATGACGGGATCTCCATATTATGCACTATATTTAACTTTTTAC